TATATATATAGGCATATATATATATACATACATACCATCAACTCCATAGCCATAAAAAAGACGGACTGTCTTGATTTCCCATTTGTGGGTTCAGAATGACAGCTGCGCCTATCACAGGCACCACATTTAGGTGGCTGAGGTGTCCAAGCAATCCGATCTCCCGATAAAATTCCTTGACGGCACCATCGTCCGCGTCTTTGATGTATTTGACTGCACACTCAATGGCATACCTATGGGATGCACAGGACATACAGCCATCAGGGACAGCGGGTGGGCGTACATACTGTAGTTGGTCTATATGTATCAGTGTAGGACAGGACTATGTTAAATAGGACTAGCTACTTGATGAGTAGGTAGGGATATCGCGATTGAATCTAAAGGACCGTGCACACAAACACATATCAGCTACACACTTGAGCACACTCCAAAACGTTCAGATACATAACTGAAATACACCACAACACAGCTGCACCGGACACAAATAAATCTCTTCATTGACGTGACACCCTTATGACATCACTAGACTTCTCACTGCCTGGGTTGTCTACAAACTAACACACAAGTGCGTATCACTAACCAAACCCTAAACCCTAAAACGCCAACAATCACAAGCGTGTGCCCACCTACATGGATACCACCAGACTCACCCTTCCACCAGCGTCACACCTCTGTAGACATCGCCAAACTTTCCGCTCCCGATCTTGTCCAGCTTTATAACCGAATCTGGCTTAATCCACACGTGATCCTGATCAGGCTGTGCTTGCTTCTGGGTGTGTCTGTACTTCTGTATCAGCTGGAGCCCTACGTCTCTGTCTGTGACCCAGTTGAAGCCTTGTTTCTTGACGCGACTCTCAATCTGCGCCACGGTTTCTTCTGTGTGTCTGTGAGGGGTGGGTGGGGTGATGGGGGCAAGGCATAGTGAGCTTCAATTCAGGGTGATTCACACATGAAGCCCAATAAATACTACTTAACATAACAAAAAAGAAACATAACACAACATAACGCAGCTACATCACCCAGCAAATGCTGCAGAAGATATTGCTCACGCATGCCTGTCAAACATCAGCGGAAGCACCACCACATTCTCAGCACAAATTAAGGGAACGCTAAAGCAGCACAAGCAAAGACAACGCCTACAACTTCTCATTACGTTCGTCTTACATTCTTACTCTCCGCCTTCTCATTTGCAGTAGATACACGTGCTTCGTCTAGCACACACAATTCAATACGCTATCAAGTAGCACAGCATCAACTTTACAACACGGCCCTGTATAAGCACCACCACAACCCCTGAGCAAGCAAAGGTAGCAGCCACAACAGCAGCCACAGATCATCTATCTCGTTCTCACTTCTTCTCATTATTAGTTTGGGACATACATGTACTTGTTAACATATACTTTGCGGCAAACTCCTGGCCACACATCAACCAAAACCATATCCCCGGATCAAGTAAAGATAACACCCACAATAACAGCTACAGACCATTCATACTGCACACATTTCTTCACAACATTCATCAGAGACACACGTGTTCATGTTAACATACACACAGTGCCATACCACTCAACAACACAGCATCATCTATACAACACACACCTGCGAAGGTACCATCACAACCCCACGCACACATAGAAACATACTACTCAACAACAAATCATCTACACAACACACACCTGCGAAGGGTACCACCACAACCTCATGCACATATAGAAACATGCCACTCAAATACAACACGCACCTGCGAAAGTACCACCACAACCC